CGAGTCTAGAAAACAAGTAAAAACATCATTCTTAATCTATTTGGTCCCAGAGGGACCTTCTCCATGTTTGACCTTCTTTGCTCCATCGATCAGATTTCCCAGGTCGCGCATGTCCATCAGCAGATACGCCCTTGCTAGATGCCCTCCTTCGTTGCCCTCTGCATCCTGACAGTCCTAGATCCTTTTCCTCATCTTCCCTTCAAGCTCCATCAACACCTGCTCCAAATATTCCAACCTCTCTATTGATTTAGTAGCGATTTCTTTCCACTCGTTGATTGTTTCCATGTCTACTTTATATTGTTCCAAATGCCTGGCTTCAGACTCGAAAACCCTTTTGTGCAACATCCTGTATTTGACTTGTGCTTCAGCAGTGTCATCTATAACCCTATTCTTTAGATTAATCCCTGGCTTGACATCCCCCGCTATATCATCTACCAACCATGATGGATAGAAGTACACATGGCCGACATGATACCGATCTGGCTCGATGGTATCTTTCTCCACAATGATCTTTTGATGCCACATGTGTTGTGCCTCGAACTTGAACGGAATGGCGTTCCCCTGTAGGTCCGCTTTGTACTGAACCATTTTAAAAACTCGTGGTATAACCTATTTTCTCCCAGCCTGCCTCATAACCCTGATAATAGCATAAGGATAGATCCCCCTGAATCCGATTAGCACTAGATGAGGAGTATCTCTCGACGTGATGATGAATTCACTACTAGGGAACCACTCGAACATCCAATGTACCTTGTCATCAGTCAGATTGCTGAAGAAATGTACCCAACTCATAGCGTTTTCTGGTTGCGCAAACCTATTTGGGATAAAAGTCATTCTCTTCGGATGGTGATAGGCTATGTGGTCACTCCATGGTCGTCGCGAAAGATCTTGACGATATTCTCCTCTCTGAAGGTGTTCCAACAACCATACTTGCAACAACAGATTGCCACCCTCGAAATGCCTATCCCCGTTTTTGCAACGGTCTAAAGCCTGGTATATCTCAGCCAAAATCATAGGGACAATAGTATAAGTTTGCCCCTCAATCCCCTCCATTAAGGTCTTAGTGACCATAACTAGGCGAGTGTGGATCCTTTCTCCCTGTATTGAAAATACCAGCATCCCCGAAAAGCAAAAAATGAATACAAACACTCGGCGGTGAGTCCAACCCAAAGAAGTGATGGCAAACTCATCATGATAAAGGCGATATGACTTGTTGTGCCCATAACGCTCATAAAGGAAATTGAATGGTATGTAAGACTTCTTCAGACAGACTAACTCATCATTTTTCCTAAAACCTATCATTTTCAAGAAACCTTGAGAGGTGTGATTTTCCGGTACCAACAAACAAGGGCTATCCCATGGGAGCCCAGCGAAGCCTCCTATTTCTTCTAAAAGGGGAGTCATTTCTATGTCGCCAAAACAGAAGACGACTCTCTTCTCATCCCAAAAGATGGTGGCGGCCTCAGTTAATACATTGTTTGGCTGAATGTATAACAAGGAGGGTAAATTTAGAGGAATCTTTTCACATGATTTTTGTCACTTGGTGAGATATTTTCCCACAAATCAAGTAGCAAAGGTTGGATATTTTGAACCATGCCGAACCTGGGGACTTCGTGCCTCATTTCTGCAAAATAAATAAAATTAGCCCTTCCCCCCTCTGGATTGGCTATTTACACGTCAATGACCAACATATTGGCATGTTTTCTCCAAATAATGCATAAACTGTGATTGTGTCCATTAGAATTATGGAAATCCCGGTGGACTTTGGACAAGGCTTGCCTTAGCGAGTTATTACGCCGATAGCGTTTTAACCCATACTAGGTTTGGACATGATGCATGCACAGTTAATATTAGAATGGGGGTATCTGGAAGAGTCTAGACCGGTACCCTCAAGCGGGCAACTTGAGAGGGAAAGGCACGGAACCATCGACTGCACCGCTGATCGACTAGTTTTACCGCAAATAAGCCTTTCCAAATTTAAAGGGTGATTTAGGAAGAGCGCGGACACTCATCAAGCGTCGCTATGGTATTAATTATACACGAGTGGAATATGATATGGAGCATGCAGTTATGCAAAGATAAAACAACATGTTGTCAAATATTTTCCATGATGAAAACAGTACATGCAGTATTAAATGAAACATGAAGACATAAAAAGAAAGGAAAACAAGGAAGAAGTTAGTTCGCACAATGTGGAAATTGTAATAAAGTAAACAAGGGAGTGAGGATGAGGAGAGACATGGTGTAACAATTCTTAAAAAAATATCTAAAGGAAAACGCATGCTATAACCAAATTGAGCGGAGATCTGCATATTAATGCGAATTCAAATAAAGGGAAATGGGAAAAGGGTGTACATGTAGCAATAAAAGGGAAACAGGAGCGGGATATTCATGTAATAGCAAAAATAATAAAAGACAGGTTTATCAGAGAAGACTAATTCATATAGGCCAAGTTCGCTTATGGTAAGAGCCTAAAGATGTCCCCAGCAGAGTCAACATGCTGTCGCGCCCCTTTTCTCACAAAATCGAGTTTCGACACGTGACAACTTTTTTAAGGAAGGTGTTAAAAGAGAGAGTTGCCACCTAACGGTTTGAGTTGCGTTAGGGCACCTATTTGCAAATAACTCTGGTTTAACCAGTTTGCGTCACCAAAGATCGGGTAATGACTCGAATTACCTCGAAGAGAAGGTGTTAGGCACTCTTCGAGGTCCACAACTGTGGTCCCGGCCAAACTCGAATTATAAGAATTAGTCAAATAAACAGATAGAAAGACAAGAAGTTTGGGCAGTTATTATCAAAAGTCCTTGAATAAACACCAATAATTGATTTAAAGATAAGATGGAGGGTCCTAAATTTTTTAGCCTAAAGGATCACCCCGTGCAACATAAATAATACTTCGTAGCTCCCTCGAGATGGGGTGTTACTCGTATTATTCAGCGGGCACAGACTATCATCTCCAGCTATCCGATTACTATCTTTAAGTTTGTTACCTAGAGCGCACTAATTGATTCTAAATCGTGTCTTATGCGTGCACTACCCGTCCCATGCCTATGGTCCAAGAGGCGTTTGGACCTCTATTTTGGATAGTTCTAGACTTAACTTAGGCTGCTAAAAAATAATAAAACTAGGCGACATACAAAACAAGTTGGACTTCATGTAAAGGCAATTAAGGGCTCAAGTTAGCCTCCACACTTAGACAACAAATGCACGCGAACAAATTCTCATATTAAGCGTTAGACAGTTTCAAAATTGAGCCAAATTAAAACCATTAAGCCCTATAGACATGGTTTCTATGTGACCTCGTGCAGACAGTTTCAGATGCAAGGTGCCATCTTATATACATGATTTCTAAATAACTATATAGTTTAGGGGAATCTGGTATAGCATGTTGATTATTGAAATTACAAATTATACGTGATTAAACCTATAGACATGATCTCTAGGTGATTTACGCAGTAATTGGCAATGATGACTGTTTGAAATACTCAGAATTACTCAGTTTGATCATATAGGCATGCTTTCTAATAGTGGCAGAGCTAAGCAATCAAACAGTGTTTGAAAGCTTAATATTAACACTTTAAAGCAAGTGATAAAATCCTATAGGCAGGATTTCTAACGATTAGTAATTGAAATTGACATTTTTTATGTGACTCGACAAGGAGTTCGTGTACGCGGTGTGTACTACGAGACTTGTTGCAGAAAGAAGACCCATGGTTATGCAAATGATGACAACTATAAAGCGGTAAAAACATAAGGAAAAGCGATAAACAAATAACCAACAAAACAGGAAATAAGACAAACAAACTAATTAAACAAAGCAAATAAAGAAAACAAACACCTCAATCGAATACCCTAAAAGCCAACAAGATCAAGTATCAACTCGAACCTGTAACTCCCCAGCAGAGTCGCTAAAGCTGTCATACCCCTTTTTTTTTACTTCACTAACCCTCTTAAAATAATAAAAAGATTTTTGAAGTTCAAAAGGGTTCCAATTATGAAAAGTGACAAAAATATTGTGTTTCAAAAGATTTTCAGAATTGCCACCTGACATTTGGTTTCGGTGTGCCAGGTCACCGATTTTTTTTTAAAAAAAATAACAATTTCCCTTAAAGACACATTTGACTCTCAAACCAGTCTGCACTAGAGATTCTAGATAAGGGGGTTCATTTGACTCGGGGAGAAGGTGTTAGGTATTCCCCGAGTCCCGTAACTAGTACGGTTGCGTACATGATCAAGTCAACTTTTAGAAATACTCAGATTGAGGTAGAAACACACAAAAAGCGAAAATAAACATAGAAAAGGCTTGAGATCGTCCCCAGCTAATAAAAGAAAAATAAAAAAAGAAAATTAAAATCCTATGCTAACCTACACTATACTTCCTCCACAGTGTTCGTCACGGCCTCCAAATACATGTTTTACGGGGCATACCCCGGATGATAATAATATATACAAACTCTACGGGGCATTCCCCTGAATATAGACTAAAGGGAACAATCTCTTACCTCGGAAAAATGAAAAGAAACGACCTACGGTTTGCCTACCCAAGTGTGGTCGGTCTAACATGCTCTTATCGGGCAAGATAACAAAAATAAATAAAACTAAAAGAAATAAAAATTAATTTCATGCCCATTCCCAATCCTAAAATATGAGAACGATTAATTACTAACTTTGGTCATTTCCCACTCCCACGACCCAATTCAGCCAAAGAAGCACGCAAACAGTTGCGATCCAATTTTAATCTTTAAGAGTTCTATCTTAACTCTCGTTAAACCAACTCAATATAGTTCTAGTGGAACATAATATAGTTTATTTTTAGCAGAATAAGTCATTCTTTGTCATCCAAATAAACCAAAGACATGAAGGTGCTAGTTAAATTAAGAATTGTGAATGTAACAACTTGAAAACCACATAAACTATTTACTCAAGAAAAACTATAAGAATATGTATTTAATCATATGAAGACAGAAATGCAGAAGCTGATTTTTGAAGTAAATGCATACCTTTTAGCTTATTGAAAATACATTTTTTGCCTCTTCTTCAACGGTGTTCGACAAATTCTCAATAGAACTGAAAAGTGATTGTTTCACTGCTTTGAACTGAAAAATGTGGCGAACGGCAGACGGGGGCTCGAATAAGCGACAGGAACTCAAATCGGAATCGACCTCAGCTCAATCGAAACTCCATCTCGCCACTAGTGAACACACAAGTTAATCCCACAGCAAAGGCTAAAGCAACGTAAACAACCCGAGAAGCAAGAAGTTGACTGGATGATTCTGGTGCTAGTAATACAACGGACACAATGTAATGAAGGGAGTGATTATAAAAACATTGTACAATGCTAATCCTGCCCCTGTTTTTGTTCGTCCATTTCCTCTTTTTTTAGTTCGTGGGCGTTTTCTAGTTGAGAAATGGAGATGAAAGCCTGGTCTTGAGGGAAAGGGAGGTGCGGCAGATGTATTGCGTGGTGTGTGCGGCCAGTTTTCCGGTGAGCTTTTTGTTTTGGAGATTAAAGGTGGCCGATGGGTGCTCTTCTTAGAGATTCCTCCTAGGATTTTTTAGCGAAAGAGATGGGGATTAAAAGGGGGCAGATGTCTTTGTCTTGGTTAGGTTAGTGGGTCAATTGGGTATTGGGTTCAGAATTCTTAAAACTGGGCCAATTTTATCTAATTGAAATCCAATAAAAGTAACTAACCCAAAATCATTCTTTCTTTGGATGAAAAATAAGAGTATTATAAAATACTAATAAGGAATAATGAACTAAATTGAGGTAAACCATAACGTAAAGTGTAACTTTCTTTTTTTTTTCTTTTATATTTTCAAGGACTATACTAAATAAAAGTAAAGAAAAGTAAGTTAGAATCATGGTAAGTTTAAATTAATATCACTATAAAGCGCTAATGACCCTAAGTAAAAAATAAGAAAATATGTAATGAACTATTTTTGGTATTTTCGATTTTATGTTTAAAACTTAAATTAAAGATAAAAGTATACTAAAATTTCGTAAAATCAAATAGGTACTAAAAACACTAAGAAAACTAAAAATAACTCTTATAACAGTGTGGGCCAAAAATCATGTGCTTACAATTTTTATGTTCTGTGCCAACCCACCGAGCCTTTGGTGATCGGCCTTCACATGCTTACAATTTGGACATCTTGCCACAAAGTCCGCTACATTCCTCTTCTTACCATTCCATCAGTAGACTTTCTTAAGATCATGGTACATCTTTGTAGAGCCCAGGTACACGGAATACCTAGAGGCGTGAGCCTCGGTCATGATTCTTTCCTGGAGACCATCTACATTTGGAATACACAGTCGCCCTTGGTACCTTAGTGTACCATCATCCATGCCAAGAGAAAAGGCCATGGTCTTATGTTTATGAATCCCCTCGTTCAATTGTACCAACAATGGGTCGTTGTATTGCTTTTCCTTGACTTCCACAATAAGCAATGATTCAACCCTATTTTGCACAATCACTCCTCCTTCACTAGAATCCGCAAGACGAACTCCCAAACTATCCAACCAATGAACCACTTTGGCCAACGACCTTTGATATGCCACCAAGTGCTACCCATAGATTTCCGGCTAAGAGCATTCGCTACAATATTAGCCTTCCCCCGATGATACAGAATATTGATGTTGTAATCCTTGAGTAACTCAAGCCATCTTCTCTACCTTAGATTCAGTTCCTTCTGTTTAAAAATGTATTGAAGGCTCTTATGGTCCTGAATATATCCACATGGACCCCATACAGATAATGACACTAAATCTTCAATGCAAATACCACAGCTGCAAGCTCTATGTCATGTGTTGGATAGTTTTTTTCGTGATTCTTGAGTTGCCTAGAAGAATAAGCTATCACCTTGCCATGTTGCATTAATACATACCCAAGTCCGATTCTTGAAGCATCACAATATACCATAAAGCCATTTGTACCCTCTGTAAGGGTCAACACTGGTGCCGTAGTCAATTTTTGATTTCAATTCCTGGAAGCTCCTTTCACAAGCATCTTACCACTGGAACTTAACCGCTTTCTGTGTCAATTTAGTCAACAAAGAGGCATGAGTAGAGAACCCCTCCACAAACTTCCTGTAATATCCAGGTAAGCCCAAGAAACTGCGAATCTCTGTTGGGGTAGTAGGTCTAGACCAATTCTTCGCCGCTAAAATCTTCTGAGGATCATCCTTAATTCCTTCTCTAGAGACAACATGACCTAAGAACATGACAGATTCAAGCCAAAATTCACATTTCGAAAACTTCTCATACAACTTGTGCTGATACAGGGCCTACAAAATTGCCCTAAGATGATCGGCATGGTTCTCTCGATTGCGTGAATATACCAGAATATCGTCAATGAACAGTATCACAAATGAGTCAAGAAAAGGCTTGAAGACTCGATTCATAATATTCATGGAAGCTGTCGGGGCATTTGTTAGCCCAAAGGACATTACTAGAAATTCAAGGCCGGGTCCTAAAAGCTGTTTTCACAATATCCTACTCCCTGATCTTCAATTGGTGATACCTGGATCTTAAATCAATCTTGGATAAGTACTTAGCACCCTGCAATTGGTCAAACAAGTCTCTATCCTTGGCAGTGGGTATTTATTCTTGATCGTGACCTTGTTGAGCTGCCGATAGTCAATACACATTCTCAGTGACCTATTTTCTTTCTTACAAAGAGAACCGGTGTTCCCCAAGGCGAAACACTTGGCCGGATGAAGCCTTTTTCTAACAAGTCCTTCAACTGCTCATTTAGTTCCTTCAATTCTGTCGGTGTCATTCTGTAGGGAGGAATGGATGTAGGCTACGTGCCTGGCATCACATCAATTCCAAAATCAATCTCACTGTATGGTGAGATCCCAGGGAGCTCATCTGGAAAGACCTCCAGAAAGTCATTCACAACTGGTACAGACTCAAGTGTAGGTGCCTCAACATCGGTATCCGTAACCCGGACTAAATGATAAACACACCCCTTTGGCACCACATCATCCCCCTTACATTCAATAACTGGCTCATTTGAAAATTCAAATTTAACGGTTCTGGTTCGGCAATCAAGCTTAGCGAAACATGAATAAAGCCAGTCCATCCCCGTGATTACGTCAAAATCAAACATCCCCAATTCAATGAGATCGGCCATGCTATCTCGACCACGTACAGTGACAACACAGTCCCGACCTTGTTGCTGAGTCATAAAAAAATTCATCGTCTCCTCTAACCGATGTTGTTCGTCACCCCTGCTAGTGGATCTTGCTGAGAAATTTTCTCTTGAGTGGGACGGTGAAGTTCTAGGAGATTGATTATTTGGAGTTCGTTTTCCTCTAGTTTGATCCATTAGTTGAGTTGCTAGGTCCACTAGCTGGTTATTGACACCGGGCATGGAGTTTCCCTTGAATGAATAATTAACAAGTGAGTAACATAAAATTGAGAAGAAGTGATAAAACTTGGTTCAAATACTCAATTGCTAGGGCCTCAGGATGAGCGCAAAAGTGTTTAACCTATTAGTTTTAGAATACATAATTAAATTTATATTATAAGGCCACTATCAAATAAATTTATCTAAAGTGCTTTGAATGAAATTACAAATAAAAATGTCAATAAAAGTTGAATTAAAGAGCTAAATAGAGAGATTCTTATTAGATGTCGGCTTTTGATGGGGATACATAAGAATGCAGTACAATTCTTCAGGAATATAATTGAAATAATAACTTCTGGAGTGTTGTGCATGATTTTTTAGTGTGTGTTACAAGTGCATGAAGTAAAGTGCGTATAGTCTCCGTAGGATGTGACGGTTACAAGTTTCAAGCCTACACATTGTGTATATGGCTAGCTGGTGGCGAGATCCTTGCTAGTAATAACTACAATGGTGTAACAGATAGGGGCCATAATCTCCCGGGAGGATCTTGGTTATACTGGAGTTCGGGCCGAAGGTATTAAGTTGGTGAGTCCCTTCTAGTCACTCTTGTTCTGGATTTGAATTTGAATGGACAATCCCCATTGTAATTCTTCGAGTCTTCCGGCTTTACCTTCCATGCTTCTAGGTACCGAACCATTCTTGCTATGTGTCGCTGCAGTAAAGAGTCACGTGTTAAGACCGAATTTTACCGGTACAAGTTATTGGATGGTATGCCGGACTAGTGTTTATTCTAATATAGTGTCACAATTTTGTATTAACATTGTACAAGAAATTAGTACTATTAAATTGAGAGTAAATCCAAAAGTCTCCCATAGGCAAAGCCTTATTGGCATAAAGTCATAAAGGAGGCATTTAATTTGAAGGGAATGAGATAGTAATCTTGCGTACGCGCCAAAAACGGCAGTCGTGCGACTTTGGTATCTCCTCAAATCATTTGTTGGGTAGTTGTCCCCAACCACCCAAAAAATGCATTCCATCCCAACATTTGATTTCTTTTGCTCTGGGAAAACAACACAATCGAATCTTAACAACTATCTTATTTTTTCTGTTTCCCATATAGATACAATTATACATTTCTCCTTTTGCTAGATAATCGTATCAATTAGACGAGCGAAACATTCTCACAATCCCAATAAAAGCTTCTTTGAATATGTCAGAGACTTTTTTTTTTCCTTTTGATATAATCACGCTGGCAATTGATGGATGAATTTGGGTTCTCGTGGTGACAATTCCTTTCAAGGATAAAAGAAGATGAATTCTTTACAATTATAGAGCTTTTTGGGATAATCAATTTAGAGGACGGAAAATGTCTATTCCTCATGAGGGAAATGCTGATAGCAACAATGTTTCAGGTATTCTTTCTCACTTGTCTTTAATTAAAACAAAATTATGCTCGTCTGATCATGTCTAGGATTAGATTATTTTGTTATATTATTCGAGGAAAGAAACAAGTAAATTTGGAATGAGCGAATATACATACATGTGCAGCTTTTAGGCAATTCTATACATGATCCTCAGTCTCAGGTTTTGCATATGGGCTTTTATCTAGCAGGGTTCACTGAATTCTTGTTTGTTTGATAAGATGATGTTGGATAATTTGTGACCAGAATGCACTTCTTTTTCTTACTATGTTACAGTAAATAAGACCATCTAGCTCTTCAATCTGTTGGGTTGGTTGTTCATCTTTTTCTGTCATTTATGCTACCAAATTCCTTTTTGGTCTTTGTCAAAGGGTAAATTGTACTAACATTCTCAGATTTATTCTTCACCTGCTGTGTTGAATTGACAAGCTGTTACAATTATTTCTACAGAATGCAGGTTCGGATAGTTGCTGTCTCTTTACGCATGTGTAATGTAATAATAGCTCATCTTTATTTGTCCTAGGTTCTTGCCTCTATGAACTTCTGCAAATGGAATCATCTTCAAATTGTAGTGTTCCTCAACCAGATAGACGAAAGCGTTCTTCGAGTATGTAATATCTTTTTCTCACCATGACATGAATGCCAAATTTTACTAGTTTTGAAGATTTACTAACCATCATCCTTAACATTTTCACAGGATGATTTTTCTTTTATTTGTTTTTCCTTTTTTCACGATATACATGATCAGTTGCCTAGGATTAGTCGCTTTCATGTTTACTCTTATGTCAATTTGATCGCCATGGAGATCTCCTTAATTTTCTTTTCAATTATGTTGA